ATAATTTCTACCTGATGAGTTAACTTTGACCCAGCTTCAGGAAGCAGGGAAGCTGGCGCTCCAGTTTTGGTTAGAAATTTGAGTGGTGTCCAGGTTTGGCATAATGTTGGAGCTGTATTTAATCAATCCCCCCAACCTGCAGCCACTGACTTAGTCCTGTTCTGAGTGTAGTTTTTTCAACAACTACTTGACTAGTTTGAAAGTGTTACCTTAAATAATGTAAATTATTTACTTATGCATATGGTTGTTTCGTTCCTTGTAAACTGTGCGCAAATCTGGTTGCCCCAGGACTTAATGGAGCTGCTGGATTGTAGCTTCCAACCAAAAGATGTTCAGGATCCTTAATAACTTCAGATTGTTAATGCATATGCAAAACGGCATTGCCTTTAATTATAACACAGTTATAATTTTTTTCCTTAACTTTTAGTTTCTTTAACTATGGTTTGAGAGAAGTCTTGTTTTATGGAAAAGAAAATTTCGAATTTCAAGATACTCAAACTTTCTCATTGAACTTGGTTTTATATACAGTGGTCTATATACCTAAATGGCAGAGTGGAAAACCTATTCATGCCCTGTAATGCCTCTTGATTGCACCCATTAAAAAGCTGCTGCTAAACTGAGATCTGTCTGCTCTTAAACTGAAGAGGGGAAGAAAAAGAAGTTTTGGGGGTTGTCTCGTGTGAAGTTACAGGTCTTGTGTTGTAAAGGAAGTGTGCAAATTATTTGTGATGCTTGTATAAGGTGTGTGGTATTTTGGTGCTGCGGTGTTAGCTGTGGTTCAGATTCCCCCACGTGTTAGGTGCTGTATACCTTTGAAGAGATAATTTTGTCTTGCTGTCTTGTGACCTATATTAACGTTGCGAGCACTACCTGCTCTACCAAGTTGGAAGTGAAATCTAGTACAAGTGGCTTGTAAACAGAAACAAAAAATGATCTTCTGTGCCTGTCTTGGAAAGGCTGTGTTATAACAAAGTAAGAAAATAATGGATGGCTAATAAATTAATGCATTTTTAATGTTGGACATTAACTATTGCAACCTCTTTTTTCATAGTATTCACTTTTCATGCAAGAGGTAGGTGAGCTGCAGGAAAGCCCCAAGCTCTTACCCTTCCCCCTCTTTTTCCTTATGGTGTGTGCAAAACTTCTGTGGCAAATGCCACTGATTTGTGAATTGAGGCATGGGTATTTTTTTAAAGGAATTTTCTGGTCCTTATGGCTATCTGGGAAGAATGGGGGGAACTTCCAGATGTTGACAAAGTAATAAATTGATACAGTGCCCTCTTTGTGTCTGTAGACAAATCACCCTTGTGCCTGCAATGCTTCTAGACTTGCCAGCCTACAGCAAAGTGAATTAGACCAGCGTCTGTCAATTTTCAGAGCTAATATTGATAACTTTTCTATGGGCAGCAACTGAACTGGTTAAAAATTAAAAAAAAAAAAAAAAAAATTAGGCCACTGTCACATTGACCAGGAGTGGCAGGGTCATGGCTGGTTGTGGAGTGCCCCGAAGTGTCTCTTCTGTCCTTTTATGGGAGCCACCAGAAACATCCAGGCAGAAAGAATGAGCAGTTAAGTGTACATCTGTGGAGCTGGCAGCCTGTTTGCGATAGCAGGCAAACAGCTGTAGGCCGTGCAGGGGTCAGTAGCTCACAGGGAGCCTTGATGTGCAGAAATGACTGTGCAGCCACTTCACTTACTACAAAAGCTGGAAGAAGCAGTGTCTTTCTTTACATCCGTGTCTGCTTCTGGTGGGTGCTTGCCAGAAGTCAAATCGTAAGTCCTTGGCACAGGTTAGACGAAAATATGAGATAGCCAGACTGTCAAGCTGGTCCCTCTCTGAGGGCAAACTAAGGACATTTAATTTAAAGTTGTTAACCTCTGAGTATATTGCACTTGGTCTGTGCTGATTTCAGGGCATCTGCTGAGCCAAAGTTGGGGCAGGTAATTGTACTAGCGCTCTCTGCTATAAATTGTTCTATTTTTAGTACAGCTAATGTGAAGAAATGTGGTTTTTCCTTAGAAGTAACAAAAGCATTGTATGAAGCGTTGCTCCCACATACACGTGCTTCTTCCACCTACACGTTTGTCTGCAAGTTGTTTGTACTTTTTTTCTGGGTTTGAGCTTTTAATATTCATAGGCTTGCAAACCTTTCTTGTATGATCTTTGATTGCGAAGTGCTGCATGCACCTCATAGGTTCATTCTACGCTCGTAATACAGTTACTCAGCAGTTTTATATCTAGATAGGCTTCTTCAAAAATTGCTTTGAAACTATGTATCCTTTTTACATTTTAACCAGAACCTGTATTGCTCCCTTTTGTAGTATGGCTGAAATTCATTCTGTGAGCCCAAGCTGTTCAGCAGCTTTGAAAAAAGTGGATTCACCTTTTAAGGGGGGGGGGCAAAAATAAAAATACCCAAATGCTGCTTTCTTACATTTAGGATTAGAAACTTAAGGAAAAAAATCTTCCATTAAGATATTTTGGGCAGTGTTTAAATTACTGTCTCTCAGACCTGTCAGTAGTCTAGTAGTGTGTTGATGGTATTAAATGTATAAGGAGGGCTTTGCTTTACCAGCTGTTCGACTGTTAAATAATGTTGTTCGAAAGTTGTGGGTCCCTTGAGGGTAGCAGGCGGTGTATTCAAAGTGAAAGTAGGTTACTGATTCTGCTGAGTGAAGTGGTTTTAAGACCAAATAGCTTTGATAATTCAGAATAAGCCCCTTTGTTCTTTTCATTTGAAGTAGTACTGTGTTCACACAAAGTGGTTTATTATATAGAATATTCCTTAAATGAGCAGAGGTGAAATGATGGCAGGATATGGAAAGAGAATATTTCAACGTTCAGTAAATGGGGGCGGGGGTGGAGGTAAAGCTTCCTTTTCATGACAAGTTTTTTGCTTTTTCTGGCTAGATAGCAGCAGCGTTCTGATAGCCTTCCTGATTTACTCGTGCAACGTGAGAGATGCTTAATATGCTGAGGAAATAATCGGGTATAATTTTCTACATGACATAGTGATTTTCTGAGCTTCTGAATAATTCATTACATTTTGTTAAAGGAAGAGCTAAACAGTGGATTTCATCATGCCCACTGCTTTCTAAGGCCCTTCGTGGGTATGGGGTCGTTACACTGGTTGTGACTGCAAGCCAAAATTATTTTATTATTTACTAGTTTTTCCATCTGAATATTACTTGTGATCACAAGCCAACGTTAACAGCCCATCTCCCCGTATTTCCTGGCCCAGCTGGGTCTTGGCGCTCGTCTTCCTGCCACACCTCTGGAGCTGGGAAGCTGGGACCTGAGACCCTGCTGAGGATGGAGCGAGGATGCAGCAGTGGGAATAGACCCCGCTGTTGCGGTGCTGTGAGTCTGTCTGCAGGTCACTCTGTCAGGCATCTTCAGGGCGCTTTTTGAGTGCGTTTGGAAATATTGGAGAACCGTTCAAGAACCTGTTTGATTAACTTTAAGCTGGTAATGAGACGACTGGTTATTGATCAGTCACTTTCCCCAGAGCATCACTTCACAAAGATTGTAGGGCAAGGTTCAGTCTTTTTTGTTATTCAAACCGCCGAGACCATTGGTATGGTCATCTCCTGTTCAAAGGGGGAAATTTCTGGTGGAAGAGTAAAATAGAAACTATAATATATGAATTGTATCAAAACATGTTTGGATGGAAGTTACTGCATTTGTAGTGTGGAGAGTATTTTAACTCAGTATGATGTGGAAGGAAATTTGTCGTAAAAATCCATGTCTGTAATACTGCTTTAGGTTGGTTGCTTTTTATTGTTGCTCCAAGAATACTAATAATAAAAATGGCCATATGATTCTGCGAAATCCCAGTGGTTTATACCTGTCTGCTGGACTTAGCCCAAGCTTATAGCCTCAAGGAAATTTTCGGACTCCGGTAGTGGGGATCCGGCTTTTTTCATACTTAGCTGCTCGATCCATCCATTTTCTGTGAGGGACCTTCTCTGTCCTCTAGTCATGGGATGTCTCTTAGGCTCTGTCCTTAATTCTCCTCTTCTGCACCCTCTAGCTGCAGGTTTAGTTCTGCGTATGCTGTTTGGTCAGGATTTCCAATGTATTTCTGACTTGATCTGCGCAGCCAAAAATCTTGGCTTGATGTTGCAATGCTGTGCTACCAAAATGTAATTGTCCTGGTGAAAAATAGATGTGAGCGCTTGATTACTTGTATTCATTAGGGATCACGTGGCGTTTTTTGCAAGAGGAAGTAACAGTGTCCTGGTCAAATTCCAACTTGGATAACTGCAAGTGAAATTTAGATGGGCGAATGTAATATTGTTTGGCTACTGCACTGAGGAATAAGTAGCTGGGGGAAGGGAGAATGAGACAAAAGAATAAGTGCCTTAAATCAAGAGGCTGTATGAGGGATCTCTGAGGTGGAAACAAGCAGGGGACGCGGTGTTCTTAATCTGATTTAGTGCTGCAAGCTGAAAATGTCTCCATTGAAATTCTTCATGCATATCGACATTAATGGAATGTTGTTCGGTATAGTATGTCCTCTTTCTGGGTAAGGATAGGGTCTCTTTGGGACATACAGAAGGAGAAGAGGTATTTCTGTGTAGGTATGCACCTTGTTTGATGGAGAGGCATATGGGAGTCGAGCAGAGTCTTGGGGCCATCGGTGTTCCCAAGAGTCCACGAGAAACACAGATCAGCATCTTGGCCCAGCATTGAGGCAGGTGGCGGTGATCTTTGGCGGGTGGAGAACATTCATTTTGAAATGGATAGCATGCCTTGATTTCCATATCTCGGGAGTCTAGTACCAGTTCTGATCCCCACAAAAGGTGCACGTTTGTACATAACTGCCAGTTTTGCTTGAGATGGTGCTGTAGGACAGTCCACACCCAGCAGATACGGCTCATAGATAATATACCCGGTGCTTTACCCCAGTTGTACAAACTCAAAACAAAATAATTTGCTGAAGGTTTTAGTGATTTTTTTTTTTAATTGACTTTGTCTTCTCTGTTGTCTTTTATAGATGAAATGTTCAACAGTTCGTTGGCAACTTTCTTCAGAAGAATAATTACTACTGCTCTGCTCTTGCCATAATACCAGAATTCTGTGACCTACACATCAGTGCTAAACACCAGCAGAGAATCATATTTTGTTCATTCTGTGTAGATGGAACAGGCATCGGTCTTGAGAGCCCATCCTGATTTAAAGCTGCTTACTTGATTTTCTGGGATTAAAGGTGCTCAATGAATCAGGGCCCCCCAAATGAGTCAAACAGCCAATTCTTGCCAACAGTTGGTTGAAAACTGTGCCGCGCATGTAGCAGGGATGGCGCAAGAGGACAGTCGCCGTGGTCAAGTGCCACCCACGTTTTATCATGGTGCCAGCCAGGAACTTGATCTGTCCACCAAAGTATACAAGAGAGAGTCAGGAAGTCCTTACTCTGTGTTGGTGGACAGCAAAATGAGTAAACCACATCTCCATGAAAGAGAGGAGCAGCCATATTTCAGGGAGAACAGATCGGTAGGAGAGGTCCGGGCTGTGAAAGAAGATAGAGAAAACTCTGACGACTCTGAGGAGGAAGAAGAGGAGGAAGATGAAGTGACTTACAAAAGGGAGCAGATTATAGTAGAGGTAAACCTTAACAACCAAACATTAAATGTATCAAAAGGGGAGAAGGGTGTCCCCTCCCAGTCCAAAGAGACTGCTGTTCTTAAGACCAGCAGTGAGGAAGAGGAGGGTGACAGTGGGGAAGAGGCCACTGAAGACAGTAATGATGATGAGGAAAATGAGAGGCAGAAGAAAAAAGAGAAAAGAGTGGAAAAAGTTAGTGTTGCACAAAGGAGAACAAGGAGAGCTGCATCTGCTGCAGCAGCCACAACTTCCCCATCACCCAGAACTACAAGGGGTCGTAGAAAGAGTGTGGCCCCCCAAGCGTAAGAAGAAAGCTGCAAAGGAGCCCAAGGCACCTGTGCAGAAATCAAAGTGTGAAGAGAAGGAGACTTTAACCTGTGAGAAGTGCCCCAGGGTGTTTAACACACGCTGGTACCTGGAGAAGCACATGAACGTCACTCACAGGCGCATGCAGATCTGCGACAAATGTGGGAAGAAATTTGTTCTAGAAAGTGAGCTGTCCCTTCACCAGCAAACAGACTGTGAAAAAAATATCCAGGTAGGTTTGCTCACCTGCTTGCCAGATTTCCATACCTTCTGTCGTGCCCTGGATACAGCTAGTGGACACTTCAGAGGGGGAAATCTTTTGCGCAGACCAGGTTCTGACCGAGACCTTGTCTCTACGTATCAACACTTTGGTGTCTTCCAAAAGAAGTAAATTGCAGGGAACAGAGTGTACAACTGACATCTGCTTTAGCAGAGTTACTCTAGTATTTAACTACGAGTTGGGGAAAACGCAAAGCTACTTTAACAAGTGTCAGACTCAAGAGTAACTGGCCTGAAAACAAGTGCATTTGCAGTGAAGTACTTTGACAGGATAAACCCTCCTTCTTCAGGTGCTGAGCACCTGCAGCTATCGCTAGCTTTAAAGTTCAGAGTGTTTCAGTGTCCTGAAACTCAGTCACAGAGTATGTCCAGGTAAGGTTTCAAGGGAGAACGGAATTATGGCACTTCGCTGGTATTGGAATCAGAAATTTGTAAAATACCGGAGAGGCAAGCAGGTGAGGAAGAAACTAGTGAAGTCAGGACTTGAACTTGTGTTAAAATGTAACTTTTTTAAAATCCTACTGAGAGAATTATATAACGGTAATTTACGGTAGCGTTCATGTATGCATATGGAAGTGTATGAATTCAGCAAGTAAATCTGTTCATGAGCCTGCCCTTTTCCCAGTGCAAAAAGCTCAGTAAATCTCACTGATAATATAAAGATCTCTGGTCTTTCTCACCAGAAGATTTGCAGCTCTTAATTTTAAACAACAATGGAAGCCTGTGTTGTAATAGAACCCTTTTAAAGTTTAAGTTGTGGAAAGAGTTTCAGTTTTCTGATTCATCTGTGGTTTGTACTTTGCTCATAGGCATCTATGTTCTCATGTAACTGGGGGCACTGTTTTATCTGGTGATTCAAACATGCTTTTTTTGCCTTGTTAAACTAGGCACAGTGTTGCCACCTACTTCTGAAATAACCCCACTGCCAGAGTGAAGCAGCTTGAGTTCAATTTCTGCGGAGCTGAAATGTTGAGAGTTTGTAGGGCAACAAGTTTTTTGTCTGTCCAATGAGTTTTACCAGAAAGATTTAAGATTTTTCTTGTTTGTTTGTTTGCTTAAATGCTAAACTGAATTGGTATTCAATTCCCACTGTGTGGGAGACAGTTGAAATATTTATTGCAATTTCTCTTTGCTGTAAGACTCAAATGCAGCTCTATATAACACTATGTTATTTTTCCTTATGTTCCAGCTCATAGGAGGAAGACTGAAGGAAGGAGTATAATATAAGATAATGAGTCCTGAGCATAGTTAGTAAAATGCATAAACATTTCAGTATGTCCTTGCAGGTTTTGAAATAAATACTTCAAAAGTTTAGTGCAGCAGAGAATATTTAAATGTAAATTTAAGGAATGCCCTGTCATCCAGGTGGCTCATTCACAGCATAAAATCTTTTGACTTTAAAGAGGAATTCATGAATAGTTTGTGTGTGGTATAGAATGGAGAAGCATCCTGTAATCCATGCACCCATATGGTTCTGAGGGGTTACATTCCTATGTCCAAAAGTGATAGGAAAAGAAGAAATTGTAGAAATTTGGGTTTATATCCCATACCAGAAGAATCGGGTCCAGAAACTTTCCCAAATATTTCTAGTGCCAGAAGCACTGCTAGTCGTCTTCAAGTTCTCGGTATAAGCATATATTCTACACTTATTTTTGTCTGTCCTGACATTTGGAATGTGTTTCACAGCTGCCTGCTAATTTGTTTTTATTACGCTTGGCAAAAGGAGTAAGGGGATATGAAAGTTTTACGTTAATGTAGGGTTTAATATGTCAAGAAGGGGTATGGAGCTTTGTCTAGGAAAAAAAGTGGTTTCATTATGTAAGTGGTAATTGAACTGATAAATGTGCTGGTTCCTCTCTATTTTTCATCTAAGTGATGGAATCTATCTGTTTTTTCCAGGTAATTTCTGGTTTTCATCCTTTCAAAATTAGCACTTTCACAGAATTTCTGTTGTCATCTTGGACTCTGTGTAGTAGCTCTCAGTGTTAGTGATCTAAATTACTTGCTGCTGATCGTCAATTAAATTGTAGACTGACTGCTTCAAGGGCTTGCTTAATCTTAAATCAAAGGGGGTTTGATCATTTCTTAGCATTGCTTTATTCTCTAGGGTTGTTTTTTTTACCCCAAAGACTGCAGTTTGTTCCTGACATGCCTCCAAGCAGGTACTTTTAGAGGCAGAGGCTCTCCTTGGAGTCAGCATGGTGAGCGGTGTACCAGAGTTTCCAAGCCTGCAGAGATTCAAGCACTGTGGAAGCAGCATAACTTGCCTGTACAGAGAAGAAACGACTTAAGTTGACAGAAGGCATAGTATTTGCTAGGTCTGCAGAGAACAGCATACAGCCCTTCTTACTTTGAGGGAAGGAGGGTAATTGATAGGCAGAAAAATGGAGATGTACCAAAAACCCCAAGCACCCCAACAGCTAACAAAAAATAACAAGCCACAATTCCTTCCTCTTCACTTCAAAGATGAAAATGACTTGCTATCCTCACATGTGTGTCTGCTATCAAGTTTCACAACTAAGATTATTCTGGAATTTTTCAAAATTGTACAAGGATTTTTTATTATCAAGTCTTTAGCAAGAACTAACTATTGGGGAAACAAAGAGGTGCGTGAAAGCCCGTGGATCCAGCTCATCACTGACTTTGTGGATGTTTCACAGTAGTTGTGGGAAGAGATTAAAACATTGCTTGCATATGGTCATTTTAGACCTACAGTGCTACTGATACGTATAAATGAAGAGTCAGAACATGAAAGATGGAGGTGACAACTTGCTTTGCTGTATGGACTGTGTACCGGACTGCGTGGTCAGGAGCTGCAAGATGGAAGCTGTCTTCTGTATAGAGCTAAAAGGATGAGAGCGCTTTGACTAGTTCATGGGCTGTTAGACCTGGATTTTGAGGGGTCACAGTGCTCCTGTGAAAGACAGGGCTGGACGCGCGGATGGGTTTAAGGCAACTTGGTGGTGTTGGCCTCCTCCACCTCTGTTGGCTTCTTCCCACACCAGCAGCATCAGTGCCTGTGAAGTTGTCTTCTCTGTGTTAGCTCCTTGAGGGCTGCATCCAGCTATATATGCTGTTGTGTTTTGGAAATAAGTTAGTGCAGTGGCTCTGGTGCTTTTCAGGTGGCACCAAAATGCAGTGTGTTAACATCCTCTCTAATCCTGTTTGATCTGGCTTTTCCTAGTGTCATTGTTTCATCTGTGAAACAGTAAATGTAAGCTGAAGTGCAGTCTGAGACAGTATACAGCATTTTGACTTGTTTTGGGCTTTTTGTCATGCAAGAGGAAGATACGAGGCTTAACTCCACAAACTTGAATCACTGAATCTTTCTAATTTAAACTTCCTTCTATTTATCCCATTCATTCATTCAGTGCGTTTCCTGTAACAAATCATTCAAGAAGCTCTGGTCCCTCCATGAACATATCAAGATTGTCCACGGATATGCAGAAAAGAAATTCTCTTGTGAGATTTGCGAAAAAAAGTTCTACACCATGGCCCACGTGCGGAAACATATGGTTGGTGAGTTATTGATCGGCGCTTCTGTTGGTTCTGCCTCGTAATTTGTCTTTGTGGTTCTTAACTTGTAATTGCTGTTTTGAGGAGAAAAATAATAAGGCAAATTCAGTTGTCTGAGCTTTACCCTTCGCAAAAAGTTAACGTCTGTAGTACTGGGCAGCAAGCAAAATTATGTATGTGTGTGCATATGTGTATATACTTACAAGCTGTTCAGTACTAATCGTTTTCCTGCTCAGTGTTGGAGAAGAAAATTGGTTCAAGAACTGTTTGCATTTGAATGACCCTCTCTAATGTACTGTTGTGTTGCAGCACACACAAAGGACATGCCATTTACATGTGAAACCTGTGGAAAATCATTCAAACGCAGTATGTCTCTCAAAGTACATTCCCTACAGCATTCTGGAGAGAAACCTTTCAGATGTGAGGTGAGGCAGCAACTGTTAATATGTTTAGATACGGTAGCATAAGGCATGAAATTAGTAACACTGTCAGTAGGACGTGTAGGTGGAAACTGAATTGACTGACTTGTAAATGAGGTGCAGTTTCATAAAAATTTGGGAAGAATTCTCCATGTGGAGAGCACAGCAGGAGCGCATCTAGCAGCAGTTCAAACTGAGATGTATTTGGTTTGCTTTTACTGCTGGCTGTCTTTTTTTTTTTTTTTTTCTCTCTGAGTACACACTACAGCAGGATTTGAATACCGGTTTTCCCCTCAGTGTTCATAGCAAAGCCTGATGCAAATTTCGTTAATCCTCCCTGTCCTGCCTAGTAACTTGAAGCAGATAGAAGTGGTGACAGTGAAAATAAACAAATTACTGCTTGATTTTCACTTATGAGAAAAACTATTGTTCTCACTGCAAACTATTACCTCCTTGACATCTAAGACAGTGCTCTGAATTTGCATTTCCTAAACCGAGGGTGCACCCGTGTGTGTTTGTGTTGGGGTGGGGTGGGGGGGAGTACCTCACTGATGCATTCACGTGCTGCGATTGTAATTTTATGTCTGCCCTCGGGAAGGAGACCGTATGGGACAGACTTACCCAGTCATATGTCTGGGGCAGATAATGTCTCAGTCATCTGATGGGGATGCTTGTGGGTATCACATGATGGAGGCAGAGGGGGTGCAGAGCCCTTCCTGTTTCCAGGGCAGGTCTGGTGGCTCACCCTGTCCACGAAGTGGGGCACAACTCCAGCCAGACACGTAGTAGTAGTGGCGGTAGTGCAGCCAGAGTAGTCTTGGGGAGAAGACTCGTAGGGAAAGAAATTACCTCATACCAATAAATAATAGCTGGAAAACAGACTGGCTTGCTGAAAAACAAGCCTGCGGTAGAGCTGCTGTTGGTTTTGCCGTGTGAGCAGAGTCCTCTAGTGGAGGCATGCCGTAGTCCAGCAGAGATCGCTGGCAAAGCTGCAAAACCTCCAAATGATACCTTAAGCCAACAGAAGCACTTTTCTGTTGGCATAACCGTGCCTCTGCCGGGCTTTTGCCAACAGCTGTGTCAACTAAAGGTTGTGACTGTTCCACGCTCCTTGCCAAGGCTCTTGTGCCAGCAGACCTTTTAGTACAGACCAAATTCTACTCTCGCTAAATAATTTAAATTCTGCGTTTGTGTGAGGGTCTGTGTGTGTACTAGTTCAGGTATTCTGTACTCCTTCACATAGTACGTTTGAGTGCTGTCCCGTGACTGCCTTTCTTTCTGATGCGTGATGCCTGAATATCATGGGTTGCTGTTTTTCTGTTGCAGAACTGTGATGAGAGGTTTCAGTACAAGTACCAGCTGCGTTCCCACATGAGCATCCACATTGGGCACAAACAGTTCATGTGCCAGTGGTGTGGCAAAGACTTCAACATGAAACAGTACTTTGATGAGCACATGAAAACACACACTGGTAAGAACGTATCAAAGAAAAGCACAAGTACCTCCAGGACAAAAACTTTCCTGTACTTCCAGCTGTATTCCCTTCCTTGGAATTTGGGATCAAAACTGTTATCCAGCCTAGAAAATCAGACAGGAAAGGCTAATGCATTAACTTACTGTTAAACCTAACTGTCTGTAGTCCTGTGATTCACTGGGGGGGAAAATGAGAGGTTAGGCTTACTCGTTATTTTGGTCTGAAGGAACCCCTTGCCAAAGCCTTATAAAAGATTGTCTTGTGTGTCAAAATCCAAAGGTGAGAGAGGATTTCATAAAGACTGAAGACTTCTGTGGAACAGCTGTCTCTTTATTTGCTGAAGGTAGCAATCACAATAGCTTTTGTAGGATGCAGTTTGTTTGCGTAAGTATGCTGAAGTAAGTATTAGCAGATGTTCTGTGCCTAACTGATTGCCGTATCTGTGTTCGGCAGGAGAGAAGCCCTTTATCTGTGAAATCTGTGGCAAGAGCTTCACCAGCCGCCCAAACATGAAGAGACATCGCAGAACTCACACAGGGGAGAAGCCCTACCCATGTGATGTGTGTGGCCAGCGATTTCGCTTCTCCAACATGCTCAAGGCACACAAGGAGAAGTGCTTCCGTGTTACCAGCCCCGTCAATGTGTCAACTGCTGTCCAGATCCCACTGTCCACGACTTCTGCCACCACAATCCCCGCTGTAGTGAACGCACCCACCACCCCAACTCCACCCATCAACCTGAACCCAGTGAGCACACTTCCTCCACGCCCCATTCCCCACCCATATTCACACCTTCACCTACATCCTCATCCTCACCATCCACATCATCTCCCGGTCCCCCCGGTTCCTCATTTACCCCCTCCTCCAGCTCTTTTTAAGAGTGAGCCTTTAAATCACAGAGGCCAGAGTGAGGACAACTTTCTGCGACACCTGGCAGAAAAAAACAGTTCAGCACAGCACCACTAACATCTTTGCTTCCTGCCAGCTATTTTCCCATTTTATGCACATGGAAACATGCCCTCATGGAACTACAGAGGGCTAGTTGGTGAGGATCTTTGTCTTTCTCTTAGCCCCAGCAGATGGTCCTAATTTTTCCTTTGAATCAGTTAACAAACAAGGAAATCCTGTTTTGGATCAGCAGTGCTCATTTGAACCTGGGAACCAACAGGACTTAAACCCATTTTGCTTGCGTTTTACTGGTGACTTTTATAAATTTCAGATACTGAGACTTGTGGAATTTTATAATTTCATATCAGCTGATGAGGTATGCTTGCTTTTATATCCTGGACTTCTCCTCAAAGAGGAGATAGGCCTGGTTTTCTTTGTACTAATCGGAAAGGCTGTGAGATTAATACAGAGCATTAATTGTATCACTGTGTATCGTAATGGATTCTTTTCAGCTTTTGGTGCCGGCTATGGAGTGAGCCAGCCACGTATCACAGTATATTTGAGCATTATAAAGAAAGACAAAAAAATTTCTTGTTTGTGTAGCTCTCCTAACACACTCTTTATTTTACTACAGAAATTATTTTAGAGTTTTTTGTATAGACCTATTTAGTAGTCTGTTTCTAAAATGAAATGTATTTCAATAAGCGGTGTAATTTTTTCAGTGTAGCTGGACCTATGTTGTATAATAGATAAATTTTTATAATCATCGAAATGTGATTCTTAAAAGATGCATATAGCTTCTATAGTTAAAGTTATTCTTACAACCATACAACTTAAAAGGTGCTTCAGAGAAGAAAGGAACCCAAGAGGTCTCTGGAAAGGTTGCCTCAAAAGTGATGTTGATTTCAGAACTTTACGTAATTTATTTTAGTAGGGCTTTTTTTTTTTTTTTTTTTTTAACATTTAATTTCCCTTTTCACAGTTTCCCTTAAGCTTTTTGGACAAGGACGTTGGGATACCGTATTCCTGCTCCACCGGTTTTCTTTAGTTCAGTTGGAGTGAGGTATGAGATGGATTAGAAAGGGAGCCCCTTACACGTAGGGACCCGCTAGTTTGCGCACAGGGAGTCACAAGACAATGAGAGATCTGACAGCAGAGAGGAAATCAAGTATTCTCAAGTCAGCCGAGCATCTTTTCTCTTTATGTAGGAGAGCCGGATTTAATGGCTTTTCATGGTATGATTTTAAGTTGGGGATCGTATCAAATGCTGCTCTTCAGATTGCTTTTTGGAATTCCTGGAGTTGTTAGGAGAGGGGAATTAAGTGAGATCATAAATGTGGTGTTTCTGACTGGTTGATTGTAAGAGTGAGAAGAGAAGTTTGAATGAGACAATGGTGTTTCGGTTGCATTGTTAAGAAAATGCTGATAGCACTGTATGTACCATGTGAAGCTCTATCCCATAAATGTAATGTGCATAAAATTATGGGATGATTTCTAGGGCTCGTAGTCATACTTTTGGCAAGTCTAAGTTTTACAGTTGTAGGATAGGAAACTTTGAATTGTAGGCATGTCACTGTTTCATAATCCTGGGAGGCAATGAGGGGGAAATGACAAGTTAGTGCAGGGATGGTGGGCTGGAATGCCAAATGTATCTGTTTTAACCAGTGAGTAGCTGTTATTTTTTCAGGTTTGTATTTCTCTTCAACTAAAACTAAATATAGCAGCATTATGCAATCTAGGAACTTGTTGCCACCTTCAATGAGGACAGAGGCCCAAGGCAATGTACTGTAAGTCCTCTTTTCCTTAAAATTCCTACTCTTCTGTGCTGCTTTTTAAATTAAATCCCACCAAATTATACATCCAGAGATCCTCATAGGCAGATGGCGAACTTACTATTCTGCTTGGTAATGAACCGGGGTTTTGTGGCTAATGGGATTATTTTTTTTTCAAGATAGCAGAAATGGTGGAAATTCTTCCTAGCATTACTTCCTCAAGGTTAATGCTGTTAAGCACTGTGTTTTGAAACACCATGTCCTCTGTCTGTTGAGAATTAGCTCCTTAGTTGATGTTTTTCACCATTTTCTACCACCTAATCATTAATGTTGGGTTTTTTCATAACAAGCATAGGAAACTTTAGGAACCAGAAAGGGCAGTTTTGGCCCAACGAACCTATTCATTTTTGACTGAGCTGAAACCCCTTCCAGCATTTCTGAAAAATAAAACAATGTTTTTTAAATGTTTTCTCTATAATATTTATATACACCCTCTTACCTTCTAGAAGAAAAAGCCAGTTATGAAAGTGAATTTACACTCATGATTATGACTGTTGTATTTACTGTGGCTGGTCCGCCCTGGAGGTTCTATGCATTCCACGTCACATTTGCAACCTACATTTCTGTTGTGCCACTATTTTATGGTCAGGCCTGTTATTAAATGATTTTTAAATGCTAAAAAATTCTTGGTAAATCAATTGTATTCCAGTTTTGCAAAATGATTTTCTTCTCAATAAATTTACAGTATTAGGCTGCTATTCAGAATTCTAAAATCTGGGACAGTTTTTTTCTATTATTTAGTTCATAGCAATGATACGCTTTGTATTTTTTCCTTCCGAGACACATGAACTTCCTTTCTGTGGAAGAAGATTAAACTATCTAACCCACTTAACAGTCTGTCATAATGTGACCTGATGTCAACAGATTCTCCTCATTATCTGGGACAAACATATTGAAAGCTGACATACTGGTCTAAAAGTGTTGCAATGTGATATCTTATAAAGTATGTATTTCAGCAAGAAAAGGAAAATGGGCGTTACGAAAGGCAGGAAATTCAAGGTTGAGATTTGCTGTGGCTTCTCGCTTCTGCTTAAATTTGCATTGGCATGCACACCTACAGAGTTTGCGCAACACTAAGGAACGAGTTCAAGTGTGTTTACTACTTTCTGCTTATGTTGACAAACTAAGCATAACGTTTTGTATCAGCTTTACTGTATTTAGTAAGTTAAGGGGTTGGTTTGTGTTGCTAAAGTGCTTTCTTCAAGAAGAGCAAAGACAAATTATACCAACTTTTGGGTTTGGTTTGAAAGTTTCTGGAAAGTTGGAGTAAATTCTCCTTCCTCCCCCCCCCTATCCTACAGCCTAAGGCAAAGTTTTACTGAATTTTTAACATTGCATTTTTAAGGGGGGAAATGCAACAGAATTAACAGACAATCGGAAGGTCAGCATTCTAAGACGAACAGTTTAAAGGACAGCCTCTGTTCTGGAGAAGTTTAAACTGCTAGTCCACCAGACAGTGCCTTATTATCCTTACTAAAGGCATTAGCTGTGTGAGCTTGTTTGTTCAGTGTATTATCTCAGACTAACTTACCTTCCTGGATAAAGGTGTGGTGATTATTTGTTTTGTATTGTCATGCCTGCCTGAATTACTGACACTCCTGTTTATACAGCTCAGATACTTCTTAGATGGCCTAATATGTATTGCTGCACACATCAAAAGTTACTGTCACCCACCTTGTATTCCCCACCAAATCTTAAATTACGGACTTTTGAAAGAGTCCTTTAAGCTGAATTTAGGCTTTTATCACTGGGAAATTAGTTCATATCTCAACAATGCAGTCCATCTGGATGTTTTTGTCTTTGCCCTGTTGTATCTCTTGAGCATGTCATAGCTATTTCAATTTATTGAAGAGAGGAGGAGGTAGGGCTCAGGGTATGCCGTTTAAAAGACAGTGCTTCCCTTTGACAGTTTTAGTCAGTTTTAGCCAAGTAAGTGACAGACCAAGTTTACCTCTGAGCTGAAAAGATTAGTATTTTTGGAATATATTTAATTTGTTGCCTATGTCTTTGCATTATAATGACCAACGGTGTGACTGTCAGTGGGGTCGAGTACCATTTTTTTAGGAGTTTGAGAGCTACACTGTCGTGCAGGGCTGTTTCTGTTCATGCGAAGATAGTGTTGTGTTGACGCTGCTGGGTTTGATTATTACTTACAGAGCATGTAGGTAATGTGCCTTTGAGAATATGATAAAACAATATGTAACTTGCAGTGAGGCACTCAAGAACACTAATAATGTCAAACTTTCACTCTTGGGACTTGAGCTCAGGGTCGTAAAATGTTTAAATGATTATTTTATGGTTTCATATTTCTATTGACTAACAGTATTTAAAAAAAAAACACAAACAAACATAATGTATATCTCAACAAGACTTTTTTTACCCACTAGTAAGGAACATCTCACTTGTAAATAGAAGATGGATCATGCTTCTGGTTTTAGTCTTTAAACCTGGGAGATGTGGCTACCTGAGAGATGATGGGGGTGAATGACATAAACGCTTGCCCATTTTCATGGCAAAATGAACTGACAGTTTTTCCAGCCTATTATGTACTACACTATGATTAAGATATTATAGAATATCTCAAATTGGAAGGGACCCATAAGGATCATCGAGTCCAACTCCCTGCTCCTCGCAGGACTGCCTAAAACTAAACCATATGGCTAAAAGCGTCGTCTTAGACGCTCCTTGAACTCTGACAGGCTTGGTGCCCCGACCACTTCCCTGGGGAGCCTGTTCCAGTGACCACCCTCTCTCCATGAAAAACCTTTTCCTAATGTCCAATGTGAGTGATTCTTAATGGAAAACATGACTTTATTCTTATAGCTTATCTGCTTCTGAACTTTGAGCTCTACTGCTTTTCAGGAATGACTATAAAAGTTCCTCAGATCTCTGTCTTTACAGTCTGATGGATGTTTTTTTTTTTAACGGACATAATTTTTTTTTTGTGTGGTCCTCAGATCTCTGTCTTTACAGTCTGATGATGTTTTTTTTTTTAACGGGCATAATTTTTTTTTGTGTGTTTTTTTTTGGTTGGCATAATATGTACTGCTGAGTATGCTCTACATGTGTGTTTTTTTTTGGTTGGCATAATATGTACTGCTGAGCAGAAGACTCATGTAGAGTTTGAGCTTGGATGGCATCTTCTGCATCCTGGTTAGAAAAGTGTAGAATGGAGGTATGTGTACTTGTTAGAACCAATAGCCACCTGTCTTTGAAGGATGATATTCTTATGTTAAAGACAGTGAGACTGGCAGTACATATTCTACTGAGTAATTATAGGTAACCTTACCATGCGCGCTACTTTAACAATTTGGAATTGCCATTTGACTTTTCAGAAATTAACATCATTAGCTACAACCTCATCAGTTCAGAACTGATAAATACCATACCTTTCTAGACCATATTATAAATCTCCAAGTATTTCAAAAGTAGAAGAAAGGTACATTGAAAATTAATGATTATAAGGTGGTTTCACTCTTTTACAGTTTAAATTTGAAAGCAGAAGTGTCACTGTGCAAGTTTTGACATGGGCATTAAGATTTAAACAGTCTTCCATAGCACATCGCTTGCCAGCTTCCATCAAATGAATTCACCTTGTACCATAATAGTTATTTTACTCGTATCTTGAAAACATTTTTGTACTATTTCACCATTTGTTTTCTTTTGTAGAATGCTCTTTCCTATCAATTCACAGGGAGTGTTCTCTTCAAAGGGTGCCGGTGGGGAAGAAGGAACACTCATTTTCCCAGAGCTCGTGTGCATGTGAATGAAACTTGGTAATTTTCTGTGGAGATTTAAGGGTGTTCAGAACTGGAATTAAACTCAAATTAGTAACTTTCACTGTTTTAGCAGACAGAAGGCAGTTTTTTAAGTAATCTGGCACTAGTAAGTGGTGCTGTCTTGCTGGCCTAAATTAATTAATTCTTATATTTTTATTTTAGCGCATTGATTGTGCTAAAAATAAGTTGCATAATGTATTGTACATATATTGGAGACATGGCAAAAGAATTAAAATCCACCCTTAAAGAGAGAGAAGTTCAAAAGAAAGGCAAGCATTTGCATTTCCTATATACACTAGGAAAAAAGTCTACCTTAGGGTTCACAGATGCCCTTAATAAAGATTTTTATCCTGGCAGCAACAAGGTAATTTTGCAGGTTTTAAGCTTCTAATATAATTCTGAATAAGAAATGAGAATTACATTAATTTTATTACTGCTTTCCGACCCACCAAGATAATTTCTGCCTGAGTTGAGCTGTTCAAATGTATTCTAATGCCTAAGAAAAAGTTTGTCGTGGATTGCAGGGTGCACCTTCTGATCTCAGAAATAATCAGTGCTTTTTTTGGACAATGCCGCATTCTTCTGTCTCGTTAGCTGTGCCTTTTTAAATTAGGATATTTGAGAGGGATTTAGTGCTTCGGGTTTTGGGTTTGTTTTTTTTTATTATTATTCTCCATTTTTAAAATTGGGCTGTCCCTGTATTTTTTTGAAATAAATCCTCTTGCTTTCTTGATTTGTTGCTGCTTTTACAGATTGGAATTAGCAAATATCTTCTGATGAAATGTCTTTGAATATTGGGAATAGCTGCCTTTGTACTGAGTCATGGCCTACATATATGTACAGAGTGGATATATTTTGCAATGTAGGCCATCTCTTTGTGTACTGAGAACGTAACGTACGCAAGCACTGTAGTCAAAGGAGGCTCCCCGAGAACAGCAGTTGGGCTGGATGTTTGCAGTCTGTCCTTTATTTCATCATATTGCTAAATATTTTTCAACCATGTCTTACTGATCCCTGTAATTTAGCATGTAGATGGGTGCGGGTGATATGTGCTTGCATTTATAATTCTTACGTTGTTTTCCATGGTCCAAGGCTCTTCACCGTGTACTGCAGCGTAAGAGCCTTATAACGCACAGTTTAAACACATTTGAAAGTGAGAAATTATGTAAAATTTTCTACCAAAAAGGAAACACAGCTTTTGTTTGAATTCCCTTTCCTGAAAAACCTGCCAAACTCCTGGGCAGAGTGTGGAAGCAGACTAAAAGTCCCCTGTTGAAGTGATCTATTAATCATTATCTTTCACTTGGAGAACTCTGAACAGGGTCGTTACTGTTTATTTTAATCAACCTATTCAGCAGTAGCATAGTTCCCTTAGATATTTTTAATCGTGTTTCTGCACAAAGGAAGAATTTGTAATAACACTGACGCTGATCAGTTGAGGATGTCTTTCCAAGAAACTACAGATCTAACTTTTCCTGAACTAGGTGTCTGGTTTCCCAAAGGGTCATTGAAGCCTTTTAAGCTGAACTGACCGGTTACAGGGTCTTGGCTTAACGGTTGGTAGGGAAATATCCCTACCCTTTCAGGGACAGTAGGATGGATTGATTTTTCTGATACGCCGCTGAACTAATGCGCTTTGCAAGGATAAGAAGAGGCATTGAGGGCAAGAATGAAAATCTAATGAGCAGTTTAAAGATATGCACGCACGTAGTCTGGTCAGAGTTAATGCGGTTAAAATGATTACCCCTAAAGAGAAGCCAGTTATTGATCCTGCTGGACGGGTATACCAAGTTTGTTAGAAGTACAGGAATAAATCATGGTATGTCATGGAGTAATACAGAAGGTTGCTGCTTTGGGGGGATTTTTTCGTTCACGTATCAGTTATAAACGCAGAGAAGAAACATAAAGATTTGGTGGGAATTCTAGTCTGTAGGAAGGCAGGAGGTTCTTCAGGTGAGCTGCAAGAGAATTACATTTTCTTCCTGGTTTAGAGTGGAAGGCGTAGGAATGAAACCATCGTAAGAGCAGAGATTTTGTCTCTCCTTGCTGTTTACCATGGTCCAGCTGGAAAAAATGGCTAGCACGCAGTGTTCAGAAAGCCACTTGGCTGTTTCCAGACACATGCAGGCTGTCTCGGGGCTTTTTCCCCTAACACAACTGCAATTTGAAAAACAAACTTGATTTGTTAAAATAAAAGTTTTAAAGAGTGCTGCTTCACTCCGGCTGACTTGCTGCTGATGTTGAGGTTACAGCCCTCATGCTGAGAGGGATTTGGTGACGTGGCACCTTTCATTCTTCAACGTGTAATTCCAAAATCAGTTGTGGAAAGATTTTGGAGATTTGTTGTGTGAGGGGTTTGGGGTTTTTTTTTGTTAGTTTGTTTTTTAATGCAGCAATAACTAATTAGTAAAATCTCTTGAGTAGCATGGGAAGGTTACGAAAACGAGTTGTTGCTCCATTCGAAAGTCATAACTTAGCATGTTTCTCAGAAATGCATAGTAATGATTTTCCTCTACATGAAAAGTTGTATTAAAGGAAGGGGAAGGATGGGCATGTAGGGAGCTAACATTTTCAGACTTCCCACTTTCTCCCAAACCTCCACTGGAGATAATGCATTTAGATTTCTAAGGAGAGCTGATACTAGCAAGAACTAAAAGGAATCAACCAAGTGAAGTCGGGAGAAAGCTGCAGCATAGACCTCAAGTAGCCAAACTGCTGATAGCCCCCCGCCACCAGTAACACTGACCTGAAAAAAATAGTGAGGATCTGTAATTGTTGCTTGTATCAGACTTCTTTCTTACTTGACCTGAACAAAAGCGAGTGTGTTATGGCTAAGTGCTGTTTCTGTTTACGATCTAATTTTGCAATTTCATCTTCAGATTGCCTCAGCTCTGTTTTGCCTGTAGTCTGAGAATAATAATCAAGGGGCAACTGATAGTGGAGCGTAACTTTGTCCTTCTCAGTCTTTTCACGTGTGCTGCTGCCATGCGCTGCACGTTCGAGGGGGATATGCCAGTTAAAAACTGTGGGATGTTGTGTTCATGCCTGTGAATTGCGAGCTGCAAAATAATTCTGCAACTGTGCATTGGCATGTCTGAGAGCTTGCAAAATGAATGACCGAGACAGCATATTACAAAATAGTTTCCAGTTTTGCTTTTCAAACAGGAATTCGGCCTGCCTTCTTCCCTGAGTAACTCGATGCAGGGCAATGAATTGAAGGGTTGTTTATGTTCCTTCCCTATAAAATATTGGTGTGCTTTCACCTCCATGCTTAAAACTCTCAGCTTCCCTCCTGCATCCTGTGAGAATTGCTTAATAATACCTTTACCAGGAGGACAACTTTCTCAATAGGCTTTGATAAAACTAGGAAGTTTATTAGAAAAGAACTGTTGTAAGGGAGACCTTGCTATTTAAGGATTTCCAGTGGCGGTTACTTGTGTGTCTACTTGAGCAGCCCGTGTGATTAAATTTAGTGTATTTCTGTCAGATGAGTAAATATCCCTGTTCCGCAGATGTGGAACTGAGAGACCTGCCTGACATTATGTAAGCGAGTGACAGCTGGGGTCAGAGTTCTGTGTTATTTCTGATCGAGACTACTGCCCTAACCACAGGATCGCCATTTCCCTTTTCAGTTCTCTTTAGATTTTCTACACAATTTCCTCCCTAAGGTTTTTCAGACAGTGGATAGCGTATATTATAATAAAGGAGATAAGAATCAGTCGCCTCTTACTTTGTGGTGATACTGAAGCTACTAGTTACAGGCAAAAAGCCGTGAACGCAAAAAATAGCAATTGGGAAATCTTACTCATCTCACAGTGTGTTTCTGATCGCTTAAGCTAAGCAGGGAACAGAACGTAGCCAGTGTTTCAACTGGAGATGTCTCAGAATAATGATACATAAAATTAGTTCAGACTGAAAAATGATTCCTTCCAAGACAGCCCAAGCATGAAGGTGTCAGCTTTCCGTTAAGCCTTAGATACCATTAATAGTCCAAAGGTCTTACAGCGCTTAAAATTAATGCCTGCGTCCTGTTCAAACTCTGGTTTGGTAACTGTGCTCTGATTCTTATGCAACCCCTGTGATTTCAGCAGGTTAAGGTATCCTGCACCTCCCTTTTACAGAACAGTTTCTGGAGGGTGCTAGAAGAAAATCCATCGTACGTCAGCCGAGAGGTTGAATTTGATATTAGCTGCACGATGACCTAGTTCCCAGGGGCTCGAAGGAGAACCAGTGCCTTGAAAAATGAGAGCGTCAAGGAAGCAGGTTATCTAACTGCCCATTCTAGTTGCAGGTTTGTAATGGAAAATGATTAATCAGCCATCACCAAGGAAACCAGGGAGTGTGTCAGAATATACTACTTCACCTAGAGTTAGAGTTTGTGCCCCTTTCTTTTAGAAAACATATATTTAGTAATTTAGGGTTGTTAATTAATTTAGGGTTGTTAATTCATAGGAAAATTCCTGCTTGGCCTGAAATGTTGTCTCATGTTCTGTGAAAATTTAAGCTTCTTGTTACTACCAGAAAACAACTGGATTTTATTATGCAGTGTCTCCTGGATTTTAATTTAAGGCATATATTAATTTTAATTAAATAATTGGAATTTTTAGGCATATATTTTCAGTGATTACAGCAATCCATCCACTCTGCCTGCTGTTTAAAGAAATACAGAAATCATGTTAGATTGTCACAGAAGATAACTTCAGTGGTTTAAATTAATTTAAGCTAATGTAACTTGTGATACGTTATGTTGCTGTCATAGCTCTTGGCTTTTCCCATCCCACAGAGAAATCATTCCCTAGAGGGCTGCGATTTAATCTATGTCCTTTCTGTTGAGGAGGAGACAGATCTGCAGGAGGAACAGTTTGTGGAGGATTAGCCAGGAGATGGCAGTGGAGCGGATCCCTGCCTGCTGCCTGCTTCTCGAAGAAGCAAATGAAGTGGATGAAGGAAGGCAGCTTGCTCCTCTGACGGTATCGATGTTGGAATCTGTGCATGAAGTAACTTACTGAATTAGAAAACATTTCCAGTTTGCAGCTTGTTTCTAATTAATTGCTAATGTCCCTGATCCCTCAAATTGTCACGTTGCTTAAGTTGTATTTCCCTAACTAGAGCCACTGGACGCTGTAAGGCCGTGTCGTGGTTGCAGTGACTCTTCACTGTGGCTCTTGCCAGCGGAATTGTCTGAGCTCGTTTATGAATTTGCACTGAGACAGAGCCCGGGGAGTTTTGTTCTCAAGTATTTTCTAAATACGCTCAGCAGCTTGAGGCTGCAGTGAGAGATTTGTCGCCTCTGTCAGTCTCTTTAGAAACCGTTGTGATGATCGGTGTCAGTTGTTATATTGGATGACTGGCAAGGAGTAGGAGGATTTTTAGGCTTGGTTTATGACAAAGCGGATGGAGATTGAACTTGCTTCCATGTGAAAGAACAGGATTTCCAGCTGAATTGAGTGCAATGTGTTTCACTAAGTGGGCTGCAGTTCTTGAGAGCATCATCTCGCTCTGCGCGCCGGCGTGGTGGTGGGAGAGCAGCCAATACCGCTGACCTGTAGTGTGTGGAGATAGTTGGCACTATCTGTGCATCTCTTGTGCCACTTCAGCAGAAGCTTATCCCACCTGGTTAAAAGCCCCATCTTGTTGCCCATGTTTCCTGATTCCTACACGTTACGTAGAACAGAACATATTAAAATACTTTGACTCCTGGTGGATGGTGACCTAACCACTCCTCTAGCGAGTCCTTGTTTCTTCCTTAGTGACTCCTAGCATTAAATGCAAAACTGAAGCCCATGCCAACGGGAGAAACTTAGGGAGACCTCAGCTCGGACTGGTGTAGCCCGCGCTCAGCAAAGTTGGCCGCTTTCTTTGTCAAGTGTCCCGACTGCTGCGCTGGGGGGGGGACTCGCAGAAAGAGATGCACGGGAAGGTCCCCCCCCATGTGGTGAAATGAAATGGAGTTTGCTGTCTTGTTGCTTGTTAGTTCTCGAGGTTTTTTGTGATACTGACCATATAAATATTATTCGGCCACCAAAAATTTATTGCTATAAAAGAAATACCGTGTGTTGGAGAATACTGTGTTGAGGAGATGGCACGAGGCGACTTGCTGTGACTGGAGTTTCCTTATCCATGTGCCTTGAAGACTGAGCTATAGGGATTAGCTCCCCTTGTGAGTAAAGGAAAGCTTCAGTTTTACTCTGAGCTTCCCCAAAATACGTATTGCAGACCATGGGAGCCAGTGCAAGGAGGTCTTACACGGGCAGCCAGGTTGATTTCATGGGGGCTACTGAACTAGTCTTAACCCAGCTTCTTTTGTGTGCTGCAGGATGGAAATAAAGCACGGGGGGGGGGCCGGGACAGACAGACAGACGGATGGCTACGTGGACATTGTGGGCTTAGTAAGGTTGCTTATGTGCTGACGCAATCCGTTTGTTGGTGAAAAAACAGGACAAACTTGGAGAGAAGTGTGCATCCAGTGTATTTCTTGTAGCGCAGGGATGTTACACCCATTGTGGGGAACCCGTGTGTTCATAAGAGGGTTGCCTGTCTATTCAGGGGTTGCCAGGAGCCAGGTCAGCCCAATGCGGAAAGCGCTGTCCTCACTTGCTCTCCGGGGTTCTTAACAGTGGAAAATCACTGGGATACAGGATCACCCTTGCCAAACTCCTCCGTCTGTGATGTTTCTGGAATGATCTTTGCCCCGCTGCCTTTCAGTGGGAAGGAGACAGAAGGCAGCGGAGAATTTGCCCTTTTGAGTTTCCCACTTGCCTTATACCCGCTGACAAATCGCTTGAACCGCCGTCTCCTGGGTTAATAGGAGCTGGTGTGACTCCAAAGGGGGGGGTAACGCCGCAAGGAGAAACGGCAAAACCCACGCTGCGCAGAGGAAACGGGGTGTGCTCTGCAGCGAAAAGCCAGAATCTCTCAGACTAAATAGATGATAAAATATTTCCTTGATAAACCGGGGTTTGTTTCTCAGGAGAGGCCGGTGACCGCCGGCAGCTATCGGTACGTAAAGGTCGGCGTCCTTTAGCGATTGGGAGCAAGGGCTGTTAAGAGAGGTCTCGGAATAGCAACGCTTTGGCTACAGAAACGCTCTGAGCTCTGCTCCTGGCTGGGGCTGGAACTGGAACTAAATTTTGCCGAAATGGGGAAACTTTAGAGCGTTGGCGGCTTCGGCTTGAGCGCTCGGACAACGTGGCGTTCCCCGGAGCAGCCGGCACAGGGGCGGACGGCCCACGTCCAGCCCACGTAGGGAGCAGAAAACTGTGGTTTCTGCAGACCTTTTGAATTTTGTTTGCGTCCTTCCATTCTTAGACATCTTTAATTAAAAAGCAAGAAAAAACCCAACCTCGTGTGGTCTCTTAACCACAGGTTTTTAAGGCCGTGCGGCTGCGTCCCCTCCCTGCCCACACCCTCTGCCTCCAGCCTTTGAACAAGCTGGCCTTATTTTTTTATCGTGGGTGCCTCCAGTACAAATTAGACGTCCTGCAGAGCCAAAGATACCGCTTAAACACCCCCCCGGAGCCCAGGAGAGTATTTTGGGGTGTGGATACGCTTGCAGGGGCTGCCCTTGCTTGTGTGCCTGGCTGGCCACCCTGCAATTCCGTGTCCCGGGACAGAGCCGGC